ACTCTAATAGTGCAGATGAAAGAAATTAGGTATGAGTGAAGAAGAAACACCTCAACAAACACAAAAGGAATAAACGAAACAAAAAATTATTTCAAATTTATATACACACACGTAAATAGTTTACAAACAATGTTGAATAAAAGGCGAATCTATAATTTTCAAAAAATATATGTGTTTCTGCTTTTTATTTATTTCTGTTGTTATTAATTGTTGATTTCGTTCAAGTTTTGTTTACCCAAATTGATGAAGTCCCCGCCCAGAGGTGCTATACAATCTAGACTAGACTGCAGGGAATTTATTATGGCCAATTGGCATTTGGGGCAGACAGACACAAAGTTTCGTTAGCAATTCTCATATAAGCAAATAGCAATATAATGTAATTAATTATGTATTTACCTAAATAAAGTCACAGAAAGTGTTCAACAAGTCAGCAGCTTAGCCAGAATTCAGCAGTTTCCCATATTCTTTCTTTCTTCTAACAATAAGTTGTGCTAAAACCTATAGAGAACAAGAGCAAAACAGCAGCAACAACAACACCAAACGATCCGAGAAGTACATTTTAAAGAACATAAATAAACACAAAATGAAAGAAAACATATATCTATATATTTTAAATAAATTAAAATGTCAACGTGTTTTTAGCTTTACCCGGCAACATAAGAACATAAGTAATCGAAAGGCTAACATTGGCGATGGGGGAATATCGAAAATAAGTGAGGGAAACGTCGTATATAAAAATGCTAAGCTTTAAGGTAAATCTAACAAGAAGTATCTATACAAAAAGAAAATACATAAAACAAGCGAAACAAATATTATAACAATATAATGAAAAGAGAAAAGAAATGAATGGAAACGGCATTGACATGCAGATAAGATATATATGTCTTAAGTATAAATATATATATATATATATATAGACTATATGAATATCTGATAAATGAGAAATTGCAAAAAAGAAAACAAAATAAAACTGATAAAAACTATATATAAGTAATATAAAAAAAAAAAAATTAAAAAAATATAAAAAAAAAGAAAATGGAACTAATAAAGAGAATTATTCTGAGAAATTCATAAAACTGAAGATTATATTTGGAATTTTAGATAGAAAATTAAGTAAAGTACATGACATTACTGTAATGCTCTACAAATATGAATTGTACTATTTATATATGATTATATATGTTTATATATGATTGTATAAATTTAGCTAGTTGGGATATGTATCAAAACTTTCAGCTCTGATCATTC